CGGGACTGATGGTAAGCACCAGTACCGGTAGGATATAGAGGCTGGTAGAAATCATAGAGGGAAGCACAATGGACCACTACAGGTCTAAGTGCATGGGGAAACCCACCCTCTCTAATAACTAACTAACTACATTCTGGCCACGTCCACAAATTTTCTATCCCATTGAAATTATTATGATTGTTATTCATTGAATACGAGCAGTAGCTTGAAGCACTGAGCAGGTTAGCGTAGCAGTAACGCTCTTGACTTGTATTCGGCAGTTTGCCCCGTTCGAGTCTCTGCCAGGACAAGCCGGTGTCCGAGATTCTTCTCAGTCACTCCAGTCAAATGCTGGGATAGTATGTTGATCAGGTCACAATCGCTTCCTTCCAAATCCTTTCCAATCCATCAATCATTACACCGTTCGACACTGTATAGTGTGAGGTACTGGGGGGGGGGGGGTAACAAACGCCAGGAGCTTGTAAGTAAGGAAGCTGACAAAGTCCAGTACTTGTCTATGAGTTGTCGCAATTAAACAGCCACAATGGTTCTCTAAGAAAAATATTGCAGTAGTTTTTAGTGCGTGGTTTAGTTTCAGAGCGTCAGGGGTCCTCTGGCTTCAGGTTGTTTATCGTGATTGATCGTCATCTGTCATAACATCTTCTTCATAAATTCAGTAGCGGGCGCTTCTGGGCTTGTCAGCCATTTTCAGTGCCACTTTGATCGCAGTTTCCAAACCACTGCCACTTGTATAGCCTGGACTGTAGCCCCTACTCCTCAGCCACTGAAGTTGTCTCTAATTTGGGCGAATGGGAGCAGTTCGTTTGTTCACTTATCGCTGATATTTCCTCGTTACTGTTCCGTGGCCTCTGCCACTTTCAGTGTTCACGCTGAGAGACTTTGAAGATGCGATGGACATTTTGAAAAATACGCCTAACTGAGCGAGCACCTGTGCATGAACAGAGGCAATAGTGATCCAGTCGGCATGTCGGGCCGTTCGTCTTCTCGCCTACTAAGGTAAAGCTATCCCTGTAACAGACCGTGGAGGCACATAGGGCTGTGAGACGTCGAGGCTGCCACATTTTCTACACAATCGCTCACAGATGGCGGCGAGGTTGTCAGCCTTACGTACGGGCCGCCCTTTACCCCCAGGAAGTTTCCTGGTACTCATTTCTGTTAGAGGTTGAGTCGACCCCAGGGACATAGTGCTGCTGGAAGGATTAGGTGAATTGAAAAATCCAGTGACCTCATCGGGAATCGAACCCACGACCTTCCGTCTTGTAGCATAGGGCCTTAACCAACTACGCTACCTCGTGTTCTCAAACATTGTATTATACAAAATTGTAATTGTACCTGTAGTTTTGTATGGGTGTGGAACTTGGCTCTGACATTAAGGGAAGCAGGCATTTGAGAAGAGGAGGGAGTGGTTTAGGGGAAATTTCACAGTGAGGAGCTTCCTAACGTGTACTCTTCGCCAGTTGTAATTTCTCTCCGAGTTTCTTCGGTTTCCCCCTGCCAATCGTCATTCCAACATTGTCCCATACCCCCTGAGATTTGCGATAGTCCTGGCCATGCTGCACATTATCACATCTTTCGGAATTCAACCCTTTAAAGTTCAGTGGTCACTATATGTACCATCCGTTTTTACATACCATAACTGAGAATTCTGCCCGCGCAGAGTATCTGTGTTCCGTATGGTTCTCACAGCAAACAGCGACTTTCCCTAAACAGCAGTAACCGGTTGGGCTTTGTAGCGGAGAAATAATGTTTCCTGTGAGGTACGCACTGAGTTGTTATATATCACGTAGAATTAATTCAATTTTCAAAGGGTTAAGTTAGCGCCTCATATCTGAGCCGGTGCTGGGATGGTTACGGAGTATTATATTTCTTTATCAGATAATGTAATTTATGACCCTGCTGTTTGTTATCTCTCGTGTGATTAGCTTGTTAACAATCGATTTGTACAACAAATATATGAACATCAAGGTTCAAGAGGTAGGGCTGTGTAAAACAGCAAAGGAACGCATTTTGAAAATATGTGAACTCCAGGGCATTCGTGAGATGCCGAAAATCTTATGATCGCGAGATTACATGGTCAAAATGGCTTATGCATTATGTCACTAAAGACTCAAAATGGTTGCATTCGAAATATAAATTCGAAAAGGGTTCTAAGAATGAGTGTCTGGGTAAAGTCGCTGTCATTATCACTACGGCATAAGCCTCAGAGCATGTTTTATGCTATGTCTCGTAACGTGACATATTTCACAGAACTATCAACGGCTTGGCTAAACATCCGCTCGGACTCCCAGTTAAACCTCTGAGACCTGAGGTTCGCTCAAATAATATTAAAAAAGCAACTCAGTTTCTACTTGACAGTCAAGACAGTGCGTATCCTTTAGAAGCGCAAACTGGTTACTTTTCTTTAGAAAAACAGTAACTGTCTGAAATTACACTTCTGGCATGTGACGCCGTGCAGACAGAAACGCTTTATCCTCATCCCTACATCGCGGCAATTTTGCCCGCACGACTTACTCTTCTACCGTGAAAATAGAAGCAGCAGATACATCCGAAACGTTTGCACCCCTGTACCATACTACACGGGATAGTGCAATCGGTTTAGCGACTACCGAAGGGTCGGAGTTCGAGTCCCAGTAGGGTCCAGAATTGTCTCTTCTCCACGTCGTCCAGACCGCCTCTGGGGCCCACTCAGCCTCCTATCCAGTGGGTACCGGGAGCTGTGTTCCCGGGGGTAAAGCGGCCGGGGTGTGAAGCTGACCACTCACCTCCAACTATTGCCGCGGTAAAGACAATGTGGATCTATACACCAACTTCCCCAGACGTCTTCATGATGTAATGTTTGACTAATTAAACACAGAGACAACTTTACCTTACCTTTATCTTGGGAGTGCCTGGTTAGAGTCTCAGGCGGGACGCCAACCATTCTGAGTGAAATTTCTTCGTGGGTTTCCTCAGTCCGTTCTTGAAAATGTCGGCATGGAAACGCTGGTAGGCTACAACTTCTTTCCAGATCCTTTCCAATTCATCAGTCATCCTACCATTCGACACCGTGTAGTCTGGTTAATATCAGCGTCGTGAGCGTCGTAGGAAATTACTGGATAATACTTCGAAGTGGGCCATGGTCGCTTCCTTCCTTATCCTTTCTGATTCATTGTTCAGCAGCCGTCATCACCATTCTGCTCCATATCGCGATGGCCGCCACGTGAGCTACCAGTAAACAAAACGTTTCGCAGTGCTAGGGGCAGATGTTTACAAGCTCAACTTCAATGACGAGTCGATTCGGGCCACTCCGATCCCNATCCACTTCAATGAGCGGTCTTTTTGGGCCCCTCCGCCCCCCCCCCCCCCCCGCCCCACAGGATGACAGCGGATATGCAGGCATCACTAAGCGTCGCCACTAGATGTTCCCGCCCGTCTACACAGACGAATAACCCCTGCAATGCATTCTATTTCTTCCCTCCATTCCTGCTACGTGTTCCACCCATCTTATTTTTCGGAGGAAACAGAGATCTGAGAAGGCAAAGAATGACATGGTGCAGCTTCTAGCCTAACCAAATGAAAGTCTGATTATATTCAATGAAGTTCTTTCAATCGTAACGGGGTCCACTCAGCCTCGTGAGGATAATTGAGGAGCTATTTCAAGGAAATAGTGGCTCCGGTCTAGAAAACCGAGATTAACGGCCGTGGGGATTCGTTGCGCTGACCACGTGACACCTTCTATCTGCAAAAGTTGGCACTAACTTCTCCGACAAGCGGCGGTCGCTCGGTCGGTATAGTTCGCTTGCAGACTACAGGCTACGTATTTTTTTTGTCTTTCAACCGTATGTTTATCGATCCGATTCTTGTGATTATGATTATACCCTTATGAAACGGACGGCAAGGGAACTTCCTATAAAAGTCTGCTGTTTCTTCCCTCCTCCATGAAAAATAAAGTATTTCTCACTATCAGATTACTTTCCGTTTTCAACTACGCTCCATCTATTCAGTATTACAGTCCAGCAGCACTACTGAAATCACCCAGACAGAATGTCATAGTGCCACGCGTTCCGTAGGCTAAACCTGAAGTTCACTGGAGACGAATTCGCAGCCTCACAGACTTGCAGAGGAAGGGACCGGCTTCTCTGACGTCACAACGCCAAGCGTTCCAGAGGCTAAACCTGCAGTTCACTGGAGACGAATTCGCAGCCTCACAGACTTGCAGAGGGAGGGACCGGCTTCTCTGACGTTCCTGTGGTTCACTGCTGCACTGAAAGAACATGATTCGATTTCCGCAAGTGCGCGACCGTGTCCACAGCGTACCTCATTCCTGCCCGTTTTTATGTACTGACTTTCGAGAGACTTTGCCCACCCTTAAGGAGGCCGGAGCGCGAATCATCGCAGTAAGTGGGTAGCTCCGTATTTGGAGGATCCCTGGTTCATATTTGGGTACGGAAATCGGCCATTATTGGGGCCAGTTTTACAGCAAAGACGAACAGCCGGCGCCAGTTTAGGAACGACAAATTTAGAAACCCTTTCCATTTTGTTTATTTTTCGTCTTTGATGATTAATACATGTTTTCTGCTGATCTTCGATCCACTATGTGGCCATTAATTGGCACGAGTCCAACCATGTTATGCAAGAAGGTAAATAAAACTGTTTTCAGAATTAACTTACGATATCAGCGATTGTTTTCGTCACGGAATCTACGAAATTTCTTGCTGTTTATGTTTATTGCGGTTTGACACATTCAATCTGATTTTTAACTGAGGGTGGGGGCCGGAATTTCTCACCTCGTGGGGCGGCATTGAAGGGCGTGCGTGAGCCCTGGCTCTGCTGACTTAATTTTGCTATGATTTCCGTCCCTACCTTCAGACATTTGTCGGGTTAGTTGGTTAGTTCCTCAAATGAGGTCATGACAACCTCCTTCTTTGTTCCCTCCATTTTAGTATTCACTGCCTTAAGCATCTTTCCGGTTTACGCCTTATAGCTTAGCTGCTAAGTCTTGTTAACCCTTTGTGCCACCCGCTTTAACACACTAAACTCTGCCCACAAAGTGTCTATCTGTAGTGGTGACGTCACGTGTTTCCTGTGAGGTACAAACTGAATCCTTATATGGTCAAACAAACCATGATCAAGCGAAGCTGACCACTCACATCCATCTAAGGCCCGGGCCGAAAATTGTGAGTTTGTTTCCTCGCCCAGACTCAAGAAGAAACTAAACATAATTTCCACTTACGAGGAATTTGTCTGAAGTTGACTTATTGAGGCAGACGAGAGATGTGCAGGTCCTCTGATGTCCCCACGTCACAGTGCTTCATACTGAGGAGCAGCGTCGGAAGAGGCAAAATTTCAGACCGACCAGAACTGTTCGAGCAGGCTGTCTCACACTGCACCTCCATTTGCACGCACGCACAAATAGTTCTGACAGGATGCTTTGCTGTTCACTACTATCCGCTCCAAAAACACTAACCACAAATATTGGCACTACAAAACGCATAAATTCACAAGCGTTCCTTGAACACTACGAAGGTTATGTCACTATTTTTCGACATTGGTTTGCTTGTAGCGTTGTTTTGGGAGCGTTCATTCTCGGAACATTGCATTAACTGACCGGAAACGTTGTTCACAGATGAAATATAATTTTTTTATATGTCGTCTTCGAAATCGTTGAGGAATACGGCGAATTTCCTGGGTCTAGGAAATCAACAGATGCTACAGTATTTCTTAATCCAGTGAATCAACTCGTTCAGTATTTCCGTAGAAATTTCTTGGATGTAAAATTTCCTTGGAATGGAATCAGAACCGCTGAGCGATGTTTTTATACTGCAGCTTTGATGTGGTAAATGTTAAAGCAAGTGTCTTTGTATTTCAGTGGTTGTATCCATTTAAAATACCGCCTTGTCTTGAAGTGCACTCCAGTATGAAACATATGCACTTCGCTGAATGACGTTTCTTTTGTCATGTTTTGATCAAAAATTGTGTGATGAAAAATATTTACAAACATTCGAAACTTAGATTAAATTTATATTAAGAATGAGTAATGATGTGATAAAGTGGATTAATCATAGTCTCCGTTCTTCCTAATGTCCTGTTGGATAATTACAGGTATTTATCGCCCCCAGTAGTCAAATTATCACGAACTTTCTTCGGTTTGTAAACACAATTTGATTTTTCTTGTTTACCCTTGGCGAGAAAAGTACATCCCTTGAAATTCAACAAAGAGTTACCGTTATAAGAACTGCCAGATTTTTCTATGGGTTCAGTACTTCATTATCAACGGAGTTCACTATTTCATTTCTGCTGATAAACACTCTTAAAATATTTATTATTTTAGGGTAAGGCTGTACGTAATAAATCAAGGCACAGCACTACAATGTGTCACAAGCAATATACAATAGCAAATTATATATTATTAAAACAAATTTTAAAACAGAATTTTCTTTCGATTAACTGCTACGTTCATTCTTCCTCCGCACGAATAAGAGAGGTATCCAGCAAGCTGTTTCCAGCACGAACACAGACACTAACGGTAGAATCCAGATCGCGGTGAAATCCTTCCGGGCACTTCCTCACCACGGCTACTGCGATGCTCGTTTGTTGTTACTTCCTGAATCAGATCTGGTGTGGAGTCGCAGCTGTTTCGAATGGCGACTCTATCTACCAGAGAGACAGAGGGCAGACTGGTCATCCGAGAGAGACGCCCGTAGTTCAAGAGGTCACATCTCAGTTTCAACACACGCAGCACAGATCAGATCCCTATATTTATACTAATTAGTTGCATTACAAGATTCGATACATACTGCAAGAGCAGCGTATGTCAGCGAAGGCAATTAAAACCCCTTCTTTCATCAAAGATTGACATATTTTGGGCGAGGCCTTGAAGTCCGGTAGGAGTTCACCGAAGTTTCGGAGGAACGTGTTGCCTCCGTCTTACGAATCGAAAGTGAATGAAGGAAATAAAAGAGTAAGAAGCACGCGGAAAGCATGATCTGAAACTGGAGGCAGTATTTTCCTCCGAAACGTCGGTGAACCTTCCCTGCGGTCAACAAGGAGTAACATAACATAAGACAGTAATATTCAGTGACCGCTGTGAGAACCCGAAGTTCAACCGCCCTGTCTCTTTCTTCGTTTCTAATAGCCAGGGCAGCTCAGTCAGCACAGTGACTAACTATTGACTAGACGACCTAGGAATCATGATCCCATTCCCAGCAGAAGAAAAATATTTGTCGCTTCACCACAGCGCCCTGACCAACTCTGGGGCCCACCCAGCCTCCTATCCGATGCATAACGGGGGGGCCCTTTCCTACGGCCCGGGGCGAGACCTCATCTCCCTTATACATCTCTAAGTCATGGTGCTTAATTAAGTACAGGGGCAACTTCGCATTTACGTTTCGCTACCGGGAACCGGAAGTGTGACCAATAGATACCGACACTCCTGCTTCATATTCCTGAGGTTTCGTGTTCAGATCTCTGGCCAGATGTTGAGATATTTTGTGGCTTTCAACAGTAGGTGCTCAGGTGCGTGAATTAGGCCACAACCACTTCCTTTCATATCCATTGCAGTTCATATTTCGGTAATTCTCGTATCAGTCGATGTTTCGATCGGCTATCGATTTGGACACCGCCTCTACTGGCTGAGGATTCGTCATGGTCTTACTCAGTACCTGCACAAAAATGCAGTATTAGTGTCTCTATTAGGCAACGATATGCTTGTAGGTTATAAAGGGTTCTGACGATGGTGGATGACACACAGAATTACTGGGGTTTTGGACTTGTTCCATCGTCCGGAATTTTAGGTAATAGAGGACACGACGTTTCGGAAACTGGATCTGTTTCCGTCTTCAGATGAGAAAGGAAGACGTCTACTCAGTTGGGCCCCTTAGGAAGAGCTAATCTCAATCACTGGATTAGCTCTTCCTAAGGGGCCCAACTGAGTAGGTGTCTTCCATTCTCACCTGAAGACGGAAACAGATCCAGTTTCCGAAACGTCGTGTCCTCTATTACCTAAAATTCCGGACGATGGAACAAGTCCAAAACCCCAGTAATTCTGAATGATGTGTTTCTTTCACAAAATTTTCCGCAACATACGCACTGTCATCCTGACATTCGACGAAAGATCGGGCGGCTAGACGCCGGTGTCCCTCCCCGGCGACCATCCACGTATATATGGGATTTGTGGAGAACAAAGTGGCACTTGGAGCGGATTTTCAACGAGTACTTCGATACCCCCTGCCATTTCTCATTCCACCAACTGCTCCACATTCATTAGTCAATTTACCGACACTTCACAGTTTCAAAGTCAAAGTTATGTAACAACCGTCGGTCAGTCGGTCAGTCTGTCTTGGTGTCAAGCCACCATATGGGGCCCAGTACCAGAATTTTGTTATTGCTAGACAGTTAAGGGTTTGTTGACGTTGGGCGCCCTCTCTGACGAGAGGACGAGTCTATCGTTCAGAATTGCTGTTGGCCCTCAACAGCGCAGTCATTCTCGGGTCCGAGTTCCCTTGGACTCATGGCCATATTATACTGTTTCAGATTCGAGACTGCCCCAGCCTGGAGGGCCAGGTCCCCGTATTTATATCCCCCAGGAACAGGGAGACCCAGTTATACCCCCAGGCACCGGGTTCCATTCTCGTCGCGGCATACGACTCGCAGGGCTACGGTGGAGGTATTCGAACCCGCCTCCACACTGGGGATCCTCTAACCAACTAACTAACTCTTACAGTGTCGATCGTGACAGCGTTATTTAATAACCAATTTAAGAAAGTGAAACAACTTTTTAGTGCAAGAAATATAGGTTACATTGTTTCGACATGTGCTGAATGACGTCTTCAGACTTATACAATACTATGTAAAGGAAATATGTGTATTAATACTATGTTATCTTAATTAAATTAATTGTGATAACATTAATATATATCATGAATTCCTATGAAATAAGTCGTGACGATGGCCTTCAACATATGCCGAAACACACGTAACCCAGCATTTGATGTTTTACACGTCACTCTTTTATGGAGACTTATGTATATAGGTCACCTCTGTACTGTCGAATTCCACTCAACGTACGTGTATTTCTGCTCTCTACAACAAATTCGTGACGAATAATTCGCTTACGCCACTTTGGTTCTAACGGTGCGTCGCATCCACACCGTCTGCGGGAAATTCGAATCAGAACAGCGAAGCGGGGACTCCCGGTGCCACGTCATCAGGAGAGTAGGCTCGTCAGCCAGCAACAAACACAGGCCACTTTGGGGACATGCGATGGTACATAACAGCGCCTCACCTGGAGCATTCCTTGAAGAGACCCAATTTTATGACTCACTAATTAACGGATTATCATGATTTTACTCAGTCTCTCTAGGCAAATGCTGGCATAGGGACTTAAGATTTCACCACGGTCGCATAGTTCCACGTCATATCCTGTTCATTGTTCAGCCTATCCGCCGGGATAGCTCAGTCGGTATAGGAACGGGCTGGTCAGTCCGGGTTCGATTCCAGGCAGTTCAAGATTTCACTCTTCTCTACAACGTCCAGGTGGGGTCACGCGATAGCGTAGTTTTTTGAGGCACTATGCTACAAGCCGCAAGGTCTCCGGGTCGAGTCCTGCTGAGTGGATTTTTTCAATTGACCAAATCCTTCCAGCCGCACTACGGCCCTGGGGTCGACTCAGCCTCTAACAGAAATGAGTACCAGGAATATTCTTGGGGTGTAAAGAGCGGCCGGCGGCATCTGTGAGCCGATTGTGTAGAAAATGTGGGAGCTTCGACGTCTCACAACTTGTGGGCCTCCACGGGCTGTTCCAGGGATAGCTTTACCCACACCGTCCAGACAGGCTCTGAGGCTCACTCAGCCTCCTATCCAATGGGTACCGGGAGTAAAGTGGCAGGGGCGTGAAGCTAACCACTCACCTCCATATAGTGTCGAGGTCAAGAATGGTGGAGTTATACCTTCACTTCCCCATACATCTTCATGGCGTGGTGCTAGTTAACAACAACGTAATCATTCGATAGCGTGTCCAGTAAGAAGCGTATGGGGGAGTTGAGGTGTTACTCTGTGCATCTGTAACCTCGGCACTAGATGGAGGTGACTGGTCAGCTACACGTCCCGGCCGCTTTAATCCCGTGGAAGTGGCCCCTGGGAGCTGGGACGCTGGGTGGGCTCCAGCGCCGATGTGGACGCCGTGGAGAGTGCACAAACACAATTTTGGTAGCATAACAGTAAGGCAAGGGAACTAACTGTAGTTGGCAGGATAAGATTACAATGAAAGTGTCTGAGGACTGAACTTGCTTAGGATGAGGTCCAGTGGCGAGGTTGCCCAGGAGGAGCCAGGTAGGACATCTGTCTTTACGTGGACAGCAGGATACAGCCGACCCCTTCCACATCAAAACAAACGTAGAGTAAGTCGCGACCATCAGATAACTTGTTGCTGCAAGTAATGGGACTAATTTAAAGAGGGCGCTGATGTCAGTTTCGTGCACGCCGAGGTCACATGTACCGGGGCAGAGTCCGCGAAACATGTTTCCTGCTACCGCGCCTTGTCTGACGAGGTTACATCAACTTCAGGTGTTCGTAGCTTCGAACGGAGTTGTGAGGACTTGGACTGGATTCAACTGGCTCTTTGATAGGGTTCAGTTCCGGGCTGTTGTGAAAACTGTTTTGGGGCTTCGCAAGGTACTCCTTAGTCCCTCCCCCAAATTCTGGAACCTAATTTCTGCCTCTTTCTTAATACGTCTTAGCCCTCTCCGGACTGGGCCGGAGTCAGGCGGTCTCAACCCACTGAAAGGGAACACATTTACACGATAAAGCATGAAACGTATGGAAAGTTGGTCTCCACGCAGAGATCTGATTCAGAGACTTCCGAATACAAAGCAGAACTTCGATAATCGGCGATGGATGGATGGATGGGAAGATAGATAGATAGACAGACATATAGATAGATAGATATATAGATAGATAGGTAGATATATAGATAGGTAGATAGATAGGTAGATATATAGATGGGTAGATAGATAGATAGATATATAGATAGATAGATAGCTATATAGATAGATATATAGATAGATAGGTAGATATATAGATAGATATATAGATGGGTAGATAGATAGATAGATATATAGAGAGGTAGATAGATAGATATATAGATAGGTAGATAGATAGATAGATAGATAGACAGACAGACAGACAGATAGATAAATAGATAGATAGATAGATAGATAGATAGATAGATAGATAGATAGATAGATAGATAGATAGATAGATAGATAGATAGATAGATAGATAGATAGATAGATAGATAGATAGATAGATAGATAGATAGATAGATAGATAGATAGATAGATAGATAGATAGATAGATAGATAGATAGATAGATAGATAGATAGATAGATAGATAGATAGATAGATAGACGGGTGGACGGGTGAGTGGATCAGTTCTTCCTGAATTTCATTGAACTCCATGCTACAGAGGCCAGCATGCAGCTGTCCATATAAATTCCGACAATTAATGTAGCACCATGTAGCAATAGAGCTTCAGACTATATGCAATTTGAGGCAAATGTTTTCATGAAATGTGAAACAACATGGCGGCCGCTCAAAATGTGCGAGTACTTTCACCTTCTGTTTGATAGTGCCTATTAAGCAGTCATTTTAACGAGGCATGTAAATACGTAAATCGCGAATTAGCCTACACATTCCTCGGGCTCTTCCTATTCTAATCGCAAGCATGGCGACGATAGGAGACCTCTACTAGTGGGGACTGTACACAGAGATGGGTCACTAACCTGCATAATTGTTAATTTCTGTTTTCCTAGCTTCGCTGTATCAACTGGAACATTTGAGGAAGAGTAAACTCACTAAGTTCTTCTCAGAGAATCTTGTCTTCTTCTCTTATTCCTGGAGTATACACGCAACTCATATCGAGTTTTATCTATATCGATCAATTACAGTCGATATTGTTGATGTCTTTAACGGACAAACACGCGCAGTCCATTGTGTCTCAGGTTCACATGTACGCATTGCAAATGGCGAACTGTTATAACGAGTGTATATATATGTTTGGATTGAAGGCTGTTACACTGAGCCAATAACATGTATTTTGATGTCTGCAGTTGTAACTAGAGGTCGCCTCGCAAATAATTGAGAGTTGCTTAGCAACAGTTCACCAAGTGTACCACAATTTGTTAACATAATTTCTCTCCCGCGACATGACTTCCAGTCACATGGTTTTTGCGTCTTTTCTTCTAGTAAAAAAGCGAAATGAGTCTGTCGTAAGAACATCTGTTACCAGAATTTCTCAGGTTACCAATCATAATTGGATACCTTTACCTCACGAACACTGAATATCTCAAGTAGTCGTTCCTTTGCCAGACCTCTGTAAGGTTTCCCTAACACATAACATTGTAGTGTGAATGAATACTGCCTATCTTTACGCAAACCGCCCCTTCCTAGCCCCAAGTGTCTCCCTGTTCCGCTTGCTGTGGACGCACTGGGTCGCTCCTAAACAGGAGTTACTTACTTATGGAGCTGTGGCCCGCGCCATAGCTCAAGCGGTTAGTCGCTGGCTTCCCACCGCGGCGGCCCGGGTTCGATCCCGGGCCTGGTCAAGTGGGATTTGTGGTGGACAAAGTGGCGCTGGGGCAGGTTTTCTCTGCATTCCACGAATTACTCCACAATCACCCTCACCTATCATCTGGGGCTAGTACAACAGGCCAGAAGTGGCCGCAGTAAAAGGGACTTAGTCCCACCCCACTAGCAATAAAAAAAAACTCATGGACCTGAGCCTTTCTGGAGAAGCCGCCAATTCTGCAGCTACTCAAGAATTTCCAAGCATTTTATGGAACCCGAAGGTTCATTACCGTGTTCACAAGAGCCCTCCACTTATCCCTATCCTGAGCCAGATCAATTCAATCCATACCATCCCATCCTATCTCTCTAATATCCATTTTAATATTGTCCACCCACCTACGCCTTGGTCTTCCCGGTGGTCTCTTTCCTTTTGGGTTTCCCATCAATATCCTATATGCATTCCTCGCCTCCCCCATTCGTGCTACATGCCCTGCCCACCTCATCCTCCTACACTTGATCATTATAATTATACTTGGAGAAGAGTACAAGTTATGAAGCTCCTCATTAAGCAGTTTTCTCCAACCTCCTGTCACTTCATCTCTCTTCGGTCGAAATATTCTCCTCAACACCCTGTTCTCAAACACCCTCAGTCTATGTTCCTCCCTTAATATCAGAGACAAAGTTTCATACCCATACAGAACCATAGGCAAAATTATAATGTAGTTTCGTATATTCTAATTTTTATGTTTTTGGACAGCAGACGAGAAGACAGAAGGTTCTGGACTCAATGGTAGCAAGCATTACCCGAGTCCCGTCTCCTCTTAATTTCCTCCTGAATCAGGTTTTGACTTGTCTTAGTCGTTCCTTAAAAAGGACTAACTTAACATAAATTATAAGATTTTACAATGGGCTTGGATGGGAGACGAGGAACGAATACGGAATTTTGGTTCGGAAACACATTCGAAAGCCGTAATTAGAATATCGGGAGAAAAGGGAATTCACGGTAAGATATATCTTAAGGAAATATGTTGTAAAATTTGCAGGTGGATAGAAGTGGCTTAGGATCGTGTCCAGCAGTGGTATTTAGTATGAGCGGTGTTGAACTTCGGGTTCTGTCACCAGAGAGTTATTTCGGACTATTCATAGGACGTTTCGGGGAGGCATAAATGTACTAAAGTGTCCACATTCCTTCAGAAATTAAATTTGATGTATGATTTTTAGTAATGACCATTAAGTAACCTGCCAAAGAACATCAGTCACCTATCCAGAGAGTATCTTCCGAGCACGAGCTAGAAACTGGACTAACATTGATTTCCTGTGCTAAATAGCTAGGAAATTGCCGGTAGTTATTAAATCCAAAATGTTCATCAGCGCCTTAATACAATTTCGCCTTTGCATACTGAAGTGGCTAGGTTAATTTCGATCCAATTTTCTTTTTCTAGGACCATCTTTAATATCATTCTCACGGCTCTGCGTTTGTCCCCTGAGTCATGTATTTTCATGAGATTTTGAAACAACGGTTTACAACCCACAAGTTCTATGTCCTTGAGCGTAAGCAATGAACCTCGAAGGCGTATAGGGACAGTGGAGATAAAATTTTAATAAATTCAGCTTTACACGCCATCCGCTTTATCTCCTGGTCAGGTCAGATAAATTTGTGCTGGTCCTCGCCAGCACAATGAGTCTTGATTTCTGGTCCCGTCGGGACTCACGACCATATTTTTGTCATTTCCAAGGCTTTTGTATATTTTCAAGTGGGGCCTCCTCTTCGACGAGAAAATGGGTCTGGCTGCTTCTACGAGTAATTACCGACTCCTTTTATCTCCTAAGGACCAGGTCCTGGCATTTACTGGTCAGGAGGCTGGATGAAGTCTAGAACCGGACACTGCGGGAAGAAAACAAATCGGTCCCTGTTGGGAAATGAATTCCGGTATTCCAAACCCACACGGAGTCACTGAGCTAACTCAGCCACCTCAGCTCGTGTTTTGTATGCCGTTCAAGGATAGAATGAAGGGAGTGGACGTGGAAGGAAACAGTCTTGACTTCTTTTATAATACTCGTATAATGTCTGAAGAAATAGAAAATTCACGACACGTCTCGAAGTACACTTTGTTACAAGTTACACGAAACAGAAGTGTAACCATGACACCTTTGCGCTCATTATCTGTGACATCCCGCATGAGTCAGTTGTAATAAGACAAGATGGATTCCCGCTTTGTTTGTGCAAACCTCAGTAAAAATCTTTGAATCTCGGATAAAAGTCATGAGCTTGTGATACACAGAAGGTCCACTGTCCTCTAAAGGCTTGTCGCATGATGGACTAACATAGAATTCTTCATAAACATCGGTCAGATTGATGTAAACATGTTTGTCAGAAAAAACACAAAGCTTCAGGAGTTTAAGTTTGCCCACAATGCATATAATTATTAGATACGTAGAACTGAAATGTTATATACAGAATTACTGTTTGTTTTTTTTTACTTTTCCCATCGTCCGGTATTCAAGAGAATAGAAAACACGACGTTTCGGAAAAATTATCTGTTTCTGCCCTCAGGTGAAGGGGAGTGAATACAGCTACTCAGTTGGGCCCCTTAGAAAGATGTAATGTAAATCACTGGTGTCTTCTCCCCCCTTCACCTGAGCTCGAAAACCAATCCAGTTTCCGAAACGTCGTGTTTCCTATTCTCTAGAATATGGGACGATGGAAAACGTCTTCAAGGCCAGTAATTCTGTGTCTTATACACCATCATCAGAACCCTTTAGAATCTACTTGAAATATTATATGCTCCGTGCCCAAAATTTCTAAGATTACCCATAATTCGAAGGTTGTGGCTGCTTAATTGTATATTATGGCTCCAAAAACTATTTGATCCATTTAGAAGAAATATGATGTTGGAGGTCGACCTTAAAATTAGACTCCTGTTACTCTGCCTCGTATTTTACATGGAGCTATAACAAAAAGTTGTAGTTCTTATAAATAGCTGAACCGTAAAAGAAAGAACTGGTAAACGTATGGAACTCATTAAAATACATAATTTTAATTTAAGAATTTCTCGGGCGTGTGTGTAATTTACGATTATGCCTTTCCGCAGTTTCATGCCTAGAGAATGTTTAATGGTGCAACAGTGTATATCTGCATATATATTGCGTTTTCAAAATAGGTACTCTGCGTTATGTACATAAGATAGCAAATCTCGGTGTCATATTCTGAATTCCCCTGCCATCTATAGTGTTCTCCGCAATGAAGTTCGCCATACATCCGTCAGTAGCAGCACGTTTCGCATTACTAAAACCGGCCATCTACCATGGATACCAATACAAAACAAGCTTAAAGTTTTGTAATCGTATGTAAGATCCGTTAGAGTGTTTAGTACATAGTAGACATGGTAGGAATTTTAGCGGTTCTAACTCTCATTTGTGTTGGTATATTTGATGAGTTGGAAATATTTATAATTTCACCGTTTGTGTAAGTTTTTTAAATATATGGATCATTATAGAAGACGGTAAGTAAGATAACTGTGTTGTTATCTGACGTTAGAATTATAGTTAATGTTTTGGAAACGTAGGAGTTTAATCAAATGGATACTGTAGACGACTTGTGTGATTCTTTGGTTATGTATTAAATTTGATATGTAGATATTGTTATAATTTTGTGAATATATCAAGAAACTTATGCTGTATGGCACGGTACGAATATTTTTGTTCTTAGGAGCCCGTCGAGGAAAGGAGGTAGCAGTTGTCATGGCAGGGATCGAAGCACATCATCAGAAAAATGTAAAAGTGAAAACAAAAAACGCCATCATATTTCCCCCACCTGGTCTGGTAGTAATAACAGATCGGGTAGGAGGGACAGAGATAGAAAATCTCCACCAAGGGAGAAGTCACACAAAAAGGCTAAGAAGCATAAGCAGAGAAGAAGGTAATACACTTAACCATTAATCTTTGAAATGAAATATATATGTAATATGAATATGAGAGTACAGTGGTCTGCCTGGCACATGCTAGTTACCACATTTTGATCACATGATGTCTTCTGACATTTATTGAATGAAGGAGGGTCCTCATGGAGAAACTGACAGTCACTCAGCTGTCAATACGTTAGCTCGGTTTCATGGAACCAAAAGCTTGTCTCTCTGTTCACTGGAACCTTTTGCTGGATGTTAAGTAATTAGTTCAGTATGGAAGAATTGAGGAGTCATTAGTTGTGACATATTCAAGGTTCCTATGCCAGGATTTGGCTCATAAAGGGCTAGTGAAAATAATGTAGAACATGGGACAACAAAAATTGGCAGCTGGGATTGGAACAGATACTTCCCAGACATGAAAAGACATACTAATGTTAAGTAATTATGTTCGCTGATATGTGTCATATCTGAGTTGTTTATTGGAGTTACTTGACTTGCCAAGGTGTCCTGTCTGTGTTGTTTAATGGAGTTACTTGACTTGCCAAGGTGTCCTGTCTGAGTTGTTTAATGGAGTTACTTAACTTGCCACGGTGTCCTGTCTGAGTTTGGTAATGGAGTTACTTGACTTGCCAAGGTGTCCTGTCTGAGTTTGTTTAATGGAGTTACTTGACTTGCCAAGGTGTCCTGTCTGATTTAATGAAGTTACTTGACTTGCCAAGGTGTCCTGTCTGAGTTTGTTTAATGGAGATACTTGACTTGCCAAGGTGTCCTGTCTGGTTTAATGAAGTTACTTGACTTGCCAAGGTGTCCTGTCTGAGTTTGTTTAATGGAGATACTTGACTTGCCAAGGTGTCCTGTCTTGTTTAATGGAGTTACTTGACTTGCCAAGGTGTCCTGTCTGAGTTTGTTTAATGGAGTTACTTGACTTGCCAAGGTGTCCTCTCTGAGTTTGTTTAATGGAGTTACTTGACTTTCCAAAAAAAAAAAATTCTGGATAGTGTTTTAAAATAAACTACAACATGTTTCTGCCTTGCTCATTGCATGTGATCATTCACAATCAAAACCTCATTTCTTTTGTAAGTGTATCCAGTGCTAAGTGAACTAGGAGCCAAGACATTTTGCAGCATGTAGTTAGTTCAGTGTCATGAAATTGTTGATTACCACTTCAGGTCTCCAACAGATGACAGTGACTCAAGTTCCTCAGATACGGACTCATCAGATGATTCTGTGAAGTTGCTGCAGAAATTGAAGGAAGAGAGAATCCGTCACGCAGAAGAACGTAGAAGGCAGAAGGAATTACTGAAGGCTACGGAAACACCAGAAGAAAAACGGTTGAGGAGACTGCTAAAGAAAGAGGCCAAGGAACGCAAAAGAAAAGAACGTATGGGCTGGGATAATGACTACCTTCACTATACGAACACGGACAATCCTTTTGGAGATGGTAACTTGTTATCCACTTTTGTGTGGTCCAAGAAGCTGGAAAAGGAAGGTCTGACAGGAGTGAGCAGAGAAGAACTGGAAGTTCGCAATCGCCAGAAGCAAGAGGAGAACCGCAGGGAACTGGAGAAGGTGAGTGCTGTGTAGATTGCAGGAAGTGATGTGATGTAGACTGGCGCCGCATCTGTCTTCACAGTGTATGAGTCACTCTTGTGCCGTGAAGTTTGAGGAAGTGGGTTTCTGTGAAATATTGCTAACCACCTGTCAGGCTACATGTCATCACATCTCAGAAGGTTGTGTTCCTCACACTCAGATTTCACATGTGCATTCTATATTGCTTCCCCATCACTGGACAGAGACACTGCCTAGTTATTCTATGGCTTATTCAGATTGTGAGCTGAGATGTTATTTGGTATTTCTATATACCATGCAGGAGCAGGGATAGTGCAGCCTGTATAGTGACTGGCTACCGGCTGGACAGTCGAGGGGTCGGAGTTTGAGACCCAACAGGGGAAATATTTTTCTCTTCTCCACGTCATCCAGACAGGTTTGGGGTGCATCCAGCCTCCTATCCAATGGGTACTGGGGCCCTTTCCATGGGGATAAAGCAGCCAGAGCGTTAAGCTTATCACCTTGAATTAGTGCCTAGGTCAAAAACATGAATCTATAGATCCACTCCGCACTCCACACCTTCATGACATAGTGCTTGATCAGTTAGTTTCAGGGACAACTTTGCCTTTTACAGTCCATGCTCTTAATGTATTATGTATACTGTTTTATCCTCAACAATCCTCGCATCAAGACTTGTATTCAAGAGGCACACAGTTTAAATATGCCTCTCCAGACTTGGATATTAGCATAAGAGACGTTGTTGAGTACCTTCTTTCAAGTTCCCACCTCCCTGTTCCATTTCACTCTATATAAGCCCTACAGTTGAAATAAAATTGTCAACCCAAGAACCAACGAACAGCTTTAGTGTAAAGTAAGCCTGACAGACCCACATAAATTCTTGACCTATGTTTCCTATGAAGTATGGAACTTAACTAATTCCCTACAGCGGAGCCTCTTCTGTGAAATGAGGTCAGCTTGGTATTACTTGGGTTGCTTTGTTCTTTCAGTGTCATTGTGTCAGAGCTAAGAGCACTTGAGAGGAAGCCTGGAAGAAATGAGGAAAACCATAATATAGGGAGAGTTTTTAAATGGGAACCCCAGTGTTAGGAATGTCTCATCAGAGTGGCCCTAGACCTCTGATGCATGATGTTATTAATGTTCCTAACATTGGATTCTCACTGAAAAGTCACACTATAGATGACAGGCTACACAGCGTCTGCTGCCATGTTACTGTTTGTGCTAATGTACCGTGGACTGTGTTGTGTGCAGGTGAAGAAACGCAGGCAGGAGCGTGAACTGGAGCGGCAACAACGTGAGGAAGAGATGTCGCTGATGCAACGCAGCAAAGAGGCAGCCCAGTTCCAGGAGTGGGAGCGACAGGAGGACCAGTTCCATTTGGAGCAGGCCAGATTGCGCTCCTGCATCCGCATCCAGGATGGACGAGGTGTGAAAAATATTTCTCTGTTCTTTATGTAATTTCCATTTTTAGCTATGTTTGAAACTCCGTGTAGCACCCATTAAAATTACTGTAGGCTTCTGTACACGCAGAACAATTTAAAAATGAGTGAATGGACTTGGTTAAATTTCATAATGAGTAAATAAGTAATAAAAACCATGAGGTATCACTTCATTGTCATTATAGAGTATAATGGCTGAAATGTCTTGTATAAAATTTATGCTGGGGTAAAGGTAAAGCTATTCCCGTAACAGGCCATGGAAACCCATAAGGGTGTGAGATGGCAAGACTCCCACATTTTCTAGACACTCAGCTCACAGATGGTGGTGAAGTTGTCAGCCTTATATGCTGGCCACTCTTTACCCCCAGGAAGATTCCTCGTACTCATTTCTGTTAGAAACTGAATCGACCCCGAGGCCAGTGTGGCTGGTAGGATTAGCTCAATTGAAAAATCCAGTGACCTCATCGGGAATTGGACCCGACATCTTCCGGCTTATAGCCTAGTGCCTCAACAAACTACACTATCATGTGCCTGTTTATACTGGAGTGTTTGACTAAAATTTCTTATCGCATTCCAGTTTCGTTTAAAAGCAGACAGAAGTAACACCTTTGTGCATGTCTGTGCATATCTCAGCATAATTAATTGAATATTAAATAGGGCAAAAAATGTTTTGAGAAGAATGAAATGCATGTTTCATGTCTGGTACTCCTTTCATAAGTTTTTACATTTTTCAGGATAGTTAATTGAAAATCATACTTTTCTGAACTTATACTCGTATATTCTGCAAACAGCACGCTCGCATGCACACACACACACACACAAAGGTTACTGAACAGCCAGCACTGGTTGTCTGAGCAGATGATAAGATTACTGAAGTTTCTTTGAATCTAATAATTAGACAAAACTTCTTCCTCTCTGTATGTATATTGTAATGTCTAGTACCATTGCTGTGCAGTGATTGCGTGAAGGAACATTCATTGCTTGGCAAGGGCTAGTAAATACATCAACAATATCCTAGCTGTTGCTGGGCAACTGCCCTTGGCAGCAATTGAGGGGTTGTTGTAGGCAGTGTTTTCTGTTGGGTCCGCCCCAAGGCTGTATATGGCGAGGATCCCAGGCCGGCAGTGAGCTGTAAAGTGTAGTTCAGAGTGGCGTGTACAAATAGTCAATGAATCCAATATCCAGTTTATACCCTGTCTGTAGTCACACTCACCCCTAAATACATGACAGTATAAATACATATTTCATTAAAATGTAATTTAGTGTATGAGATTAGGTACTTTTCTGAGCTTATGAGAATAAATATGTGAAATATCTGATCTTATTGCAAGAACTAGTGTAACATGGATGTTAGGATGTCAATTTGTAACTCCTTATACTGGATGCACCCAGTGGATGCACACACTGTACTTCTGAAGTCTTATCTCTCACCCTGCCTGCCTCTGAAAACGTTACATATTGAAGTGCATACAGCAGTAGTTTCATTGTGGATCAGTCTGCTGTTTAGGTAGCGCTGTTATGTTTTATGGGTTATTACTTGCTGTGGCACTGCCATATGAAATCGGATTTTCAGTTCCCTCCTGCCTGCACTGTTATGTACTTATGTTAAGCTGGTGGTCGAAATAATTCATGATTAACTTATTGAGATAGACGTTTAAAAATTATTACAATATTAATTTTTTTCTCTCTTTTATCTTTGTTTCATTGTCTTCTCTGTTCTTTGGTCTTTGGTTTTGTAAAATGTTCATCATAGTCGTTGATATACATAAATATTTTCCCGTCTGTGTAGCTAAGCCAATTGATCTGCTGGCTAAGTACATCAGTGCAGAGGGTGAAGTGGATGCCGTGGAAATGCACGAACCATATACGTACCTTAATGGCCTGACCATCAAGGATTTGGAGGACTTGATTGAGGACATAAAGGTAAGGATTAGTCATAATGTTCAGGCTGTGTTGGAGAATTTGTCTTCTCAATCAGCGATGCGCATCTACAGGTCTCTTACATCCAGTGGCATGCAGTCCCTTTAAAATAAATCAGTTGGGCTCATTAGTTCATTTAATTGTCTCACATATTCTCTAGCCATCACTCAGCCATATGACATTAATTTTCATTTCTTGTTGTTATTATTTTATTTATTTGTTTGAAGTTTATTTAATAATGCTGTCAATACCTAAAACTATATAGCATTGAATATTACAATGATAGTAAATAATTAATTCAGAAACATATGGATTGAGGCAGTCATGGTCTAATTTGAAGGCATTGTTCTGACACCAGGTCGAACTGAGAAAAACCAAGAAAAACCTCAAGATAGTTTGATGGCCAAGATTTAAACTGGGCACCTCGCAGATACATGCCTTGAGCATTACTGCTTGAGCTGACTTGCTTTAATGTTGTGTACTTCATTGTTGTCAGCCTCATCCTCATCATCATGTAATTATTTTTAAGTAACGCAGTATACCATGGTTTTTTTTTTTGAACACTAATAATCACTCAGCTAGACAACAAATTCTGTGTGTGTTATGCAATCAGAAGGTTCATTGCCGTTTTCAGGAGAGCACACCTTTGGTCTTTCTCCTTTTCACATCCTTTCACCCAATGTCATGCCCTTAAAATCCATTTCAATATAATCCTCACATCTACTGTAATTCTGCAGTAGCTGACCAGAACATGCCCACGTCTGTAATCGTTAGAAGGGAATTTAGAAAGGTTTCTTGTGAGAGAGATCTGAAAAGCGCCTTGAAATAAGATCTAGCCGTCATCATCACTGAACTTGCCTGTTAACTGTCCATTCATAAATATCTTCACAACTTTTGATGTGCTGCACAACCTTAGCATTCAAGACAGTATCCATAAATAACCCAATAATCACGCATTCAGTTTGGCTGAGGTGAGTTTCAGTGTTTAATGGGATCTAGTTCAGTGGCTAGAGTTACTCCTAATGGTCCCAGCTGAGTACAGAACTTATGTCAGAGTTTGGACAACAGAAATGGATCCCGCTTCCAAGCCGTGTCCAAAATTCCAAGATGACTGACAGTGTTCAAAATAATAGTCATGTATACCAATATCTCTTGTTGTACAGGTGTACAAAGAGCTGGAACGGGGCAAGAACCTGGACTACTGGAATGATATCACTGTTATTGTGGAAGATGAATTGCATAAACTGCGCAAACTAGAAAAACAGAGCGCGTATGAAGCAGGTACTGCACTCAATCATTTTTCTTATGGAACATTGGTCTGTGTTTGCAGTTATGTTCAAATATTTATAATAATATTTCCCTCAGCATTCCCTTCCTCCCTCCCTCCCTCCCTCCCTCCCTCTCTCCCTCCTTTCTCTGTGGTCCTCTAAGAACCTTTCCCTCCTTTATGATTGATGCCCAGTCTTCTATATCAGTTTCCTTTCGCCTCCACCTTTCCATTTAGTTTAGTGTATTTAGGACATGGCTGATTCAGATGCCATGTTACTTGCTCTGATTGAGACAAATTGTATGTTTCTGGACATTATCCATCGTCCTGTTTTTACCTAAAACACTGTCCTGTCTTTATTTAAAAACACAGCATTTTGGAGACTGGATTCTGTCTGGAGATGGGTACTGGCCCTGTCAGTTGGGCCCAACTGAGTAAATTTTACCTGAAGACAGACAGAATCTAGTCTCCAAAACATTGTTTTTTTTAAATAAAAGCAGGACAGTGGATAATGCGCAGAAACATAATATTTGTGTTAATGTATAATTGTCACAAACTTTTAGGTCTTATTTGCTATGATTGAGGATTTGTGGCTTTTCTCAGTCTCTTCAGACAAATGCTGTGATAGTACATTGATATAGGCTAATCCTTACGTACCCACGATTCATGAACATCATTCCACTGCATTAAAGAGATTGAACCTAAGAATTGGTCACAGTTGAACTCCAAAATGTAAGGAATTGTGACAGTTAAAGTTTGCAGTCATCAGTCTTCATGAACTGAGGTGCAGCATGAAATTAAATACGTGAATTGAGACAATATCTTTGTTTGCAGCGGTTGGCAGACGTGAAGGGATTCATCAGTCTGTTGCCAAGGAAGTTGCGTCAGTCTTCAAAGGCAAAACTGCTGCTCAGTTGGAGGCACTGCAGCTGCAGATCGAGATGAAGATCAGTGGGAAACCTGAAGGTGTCGACATTGGGTACTGGGAGTCTCTGCTGTCTCAGCTGAAAGGTTGGTCCCGATTAAAATCATGCTAGATTTATAGTAGTGTGTGTACTGTGCCAAGGCTTTACGTTGGTGTTGCAAGTAGTGTTTCTGCGCTTCCCCCTCTGAAGTTTGAGAAGTTGGCTTTGTTCAACATGTTCTGCAGCCTCGTTTGAGTGGCAAACTCATTTTTTTTTTTTTGTATTTCTGCAATGTAACGCCACATAGAGGGAATTTATAATTGATGTAAAATAAGAATCTTTTAAACCCTTCAAGGCACAATTGTAATTACATATACCACTTACTTTACCGTGAAAGGCGACTGCATTTTGCCCAAAGAGTGTTTTTATGATGCTCAAAATAAACAGCTTTAACTGTTAGTCTTTATGATGTGTGTTCTATATGCTTACTGTGAAATGGGAACTGAATATTTAAATGTTATTAATAAGAAAATTGTGCGTTATACCTCTTTGGCATTTGTGGTCTTCTAGGTTTTGACGCAAGTGACTGCTGTCAACTTGTGTGCTTATAGCACTGTGTCAAGGAGTGAAACTAAAAACGAAATGCTGTTAACAGGTTCTTCTCACATCACGGACTATGGAGATTAGTGTCTTCTGACACGTGACATCCTGTTTTGGTAGATCGTTGCCAGTGTTTCAGTGTATAATTTTATGGGAGATTTGGGGTTCACGTGGTGAATGTGGAGATTTCTCTCTTCTGGGATGTGACGCCATGTTATCTTATAAATCCATACCAATTTACAGAATTTGAGTATTTGCCAGCAGTAGACACTATATTAGCAATAGGAAGTTGTGAGGATTGGTGGTGGATTCAACTGATCTACGATCATATCCACTGTGCGGATTGTGTTGAAACTTAATTTCAAGTGCTTTCAGCACAGCTGTGTACTATAAACCCAAACAGGATTGTCTACTGCTTGTCTGGTTGTCTGTAAGGAACTGTGTATCTTGCAGCTCACATGGCGAGGGCACGCCTTCGAGACAGGCATCAAGACAACTTGCGTCATAAGCTCGAGATGCTGAAGGCCCAGCAAGGGGTGGCAGCAACTGGCAGTGAGGAAGAGACAGGCAATGGGGTAGAGACAACAGTTAAGATAGAGCGAGACACTATCAGCGAGGCAGTGAGCAGTGAATCTTCAGGCAGTGAGAAGGAGGAGAGAGGGTAAGCTAACCGGCTCTCCAATAGCAGAACCCAGAGGTTCAACACCAAACATATAACAAAGCCTGCCACTGGACATGATCCTGAGGCAGTTCCAACCACCTCCCATCCTCACAGCCCATTTCCCTAAGATCCATTTTTATTTTATTGCTAGTGGGGGTGGGACCAAATTCTTGTACTGTGGCCACTTCTGGCCTATTGTACCAGCCCCAGATGATAGGTGAGGGTGATTGTGGAGCAATTGGTGGAATGAAAATTGGCATGGGAAACCGAAGTACTTGGAGAAAACCTGCCCCAGCAAAACTTTGTCCACCACAAATCCCACTTGACCAGACCTGGGATCGAACCCGGGCCACCGCCGTGGGAAGCCAGTGACTGACTGTTTGAGCTATGGCGCAGCCATGATACATCTTACTAATTAATTAACTATCTGGTAGCAGAACCCGAAAGTTCAACACCGATAATACCAGAGCCCACCATTGGACACGATCCTGAGCCAGTTCCATCCACCTCGCATCCTCACAGCCCAATTTCCTAAGATACATCTCCCTAATTAACTAACTAACTAACAAATACTTCATTCTGTAGTTAAAAATGTAGCCAAGAAGTGGTATAATTTTCTGCTTTGTGGGAAATATTGTAATTCCAGATGACAGGCAAGTGTGGCATAATGTGAGAGACACAGCAACATGGACTTAAAAATCTCATTATGGCCGTGAAAGATTGTATATACTGAGCCGTGTCCCTCCCCCATGTGGGTCGAGAACCACTCTCTGCTACCACTTTGAGCTGTGTCACTCGACCCTTTGGGTAAAGAATCCCGTTCTTCTACCCACTTTGACCCGTGAATCCTTACTCTATATGGGTAAGGGACAGGCTCATAGGAAACGACTTGCTTGTAGCGTGATGCACTATGCCTCCCTAGGATTGTGTAAGGGATTTCGGGGGAGGAAAACCACAGTCGGTACGATGGGCCAGGCTGGACAGATCTGCTAGGCAGAAGCTGGTATGGAACATATGGCACAAGTATGCATATACACAACTGGCGTTCTCAAACATATAAATAAATATATATTGATAACATATGTATACAATGAACTCTGCCTGAAGGGCAGTGACTGGTTAGAACATGTGATAAATGATTGATACAGACTACGCTGTGCCCAACAGCACAGAAACTGAAGTCAGCCACGCCTCATGGCGTATTTATAGTTCTCCAGTACAAGCATGTACTTGATCAAGCCTTGATAACACAAGGAAATATAGACAGCTTACATATACAGCTGAACATGCCTGAAGGGTGATCTGCTGTTTATCACAACCTTTGACAAAACCAAAATTACTCTACGCCGCACGGCGCCTATAATCAAACCAGAATGCACCTTACAGCGTACATTACCTTAGTAAGTCACTTACTTGTATTCTTGGATATACAACTCAAAGATTTACCTCATGACTGATCCACCCTTGACCATATCATGAGGGCGCTCTTCCCCCTTCGATCAGTGCTGTGGGCCGAAACCAAATTTCAAACACAGTCAATTCAACTTGCCGAAACCAAATTTAAACGCAGCGATGTTTCCAGGTGAAGGTCAACAGGAAGAGAGAAAGATTAGCTTCACTCGAGCTAAGCAAGAAACCTCTGTCTAAGTCCAGGAGGGGGAGACAAGGTCAGCTGACCTGACGTCAGTCAAAGACGTTAACTGGAAAGAAAGGAACGGCTCGCATCCTGGCGTTTCGGGGTGGGGGACTCCAAGGAACTTAATGAAGAAGAACCGTTGCACGGTTCAGTACTCAGTATTCAATGAGAGCTATAGCCGTTGAGGCATGTATCTTATGATTGTGCAAATTTCTAGGGATGAAGTCGCAGAGGGCAATTTAATGGCAGATGCCATGTTATCTGAGAGCTTTGCGGATTATGAGTCCGGGGGCTACAGTCCACAGTACCTGAGCCAGTCACAGCTGGATCCAGGTACGCTAGTGATGAATGAGGAGGATGACCTGCAGAGGCTGATGTTTGCCAGGATGCAGGTCCTGGGCACCGGTAGTCGTGTTGAGGTAAGCACAGGCCGACATGTCAAGTTGCAGCAGGTACTGTTTTTGATGCATGACACTGGGTAGAATGTTCTGATCGTCTCGTTTTTGTTTACCAGAGTGTGATGGCTGCAGAAGAACAAGCTCTACAGAGAGAGGCCAGGAAAGGGATGACCGCAGATGAGGCCGAATTCTCTGTGGAAACGGCACTTGACAGCCAAGTGTATCTGTGGTCGGACAAATACCGGCCTCGTAAGCCTCGATACTTCAATCGGTAAGTTGTTTATGGCAGAGGTTCCCTATCTCTTGCACATTGGCCAGTACCAACAATAGTCTGGAATACTGAATTATTGCTGGCATGTTTAAACATGTGTGTTTACTGATTCGATGTTCTCAGATGGGATGCCATGTAGTTTGGTAGGCACACATCGAAGTTTCAGAGGAAGGTACTACCTCTGTCTTTGTGGTTGAAGTCCACTTGCCCTAAGATGCGGGCAGTACATTCCACCACTGTAGCCATCTGCCACCCTGCGTGGTGTCATGCCATGGAAGACTAGAGTCCAGAGTGAAAACACTGAAGAAATGCTACATTCCTTGCACTGAATGTTGGCAACTAAATGTTCTGTGCAAATAAATATGTTGACATACAGCAGTTTGTAGAGAAACAATGACATAAGGTCAAATGCACCCACTGGTCCCAGGACTATGCCTCCCTTCAGGTTGAAGCTAGCTCTCCATCCATTGCCCCTGGCCTCAAACTCATTCTGTGTCTCTTTCAGGGTACACACTGGTTTTGAATGGAACAAGTACAATCAGACCCACTACGATATGGACAACCCTCCCCCAAAGATCGTCCAGGGTTACAAATTCAACATATTCTATCCAGATCTAATTGATAAGAACACAACTCCCGAGTACTTCCTGGTAAGTTACTGCAATGTTTAAATTGGCCTATCTCCAAAAGTGATGACTACCATTTTACACCCTGCCTCCCGCTGCTTTCAAATAAGAACAAGGGCCTGCAATTGTGGTGGTGTGTGGTGTTTGTTGTGTATCAATAAATGAAATCCATTTTATTTTTCAAGGAAAGGCCATTCTTGTATATTTTTAGTTGGGGTTGCAACTTAATCCCATGTTACTTAGCCTCTAAATTAGCCCAGTGTACCATCCCCATGTCATGAGTAAGAAAAAGGAGCATATGGTAGAATGAGAATTGGCAGGGTGAACAGTGCCCCAGGGTCACTTTATCTGCCCTACCCATTTAGCAACAACAGTTTAATGAAAGAAGTGTCAATCTTCCAGAGATACAGTATGCAGGAATTTTCCTTCAATATCAGTTTAAGAGAAAGTCTTGTAAACAGATCGAAAAAAGAATACTTGGTTGAAACAACCATCAAGTTAAATCCCCCCGAAACTTGAGTCCACATTATGCAAGGGCCAGCACCACATTTGCAGGAATATTGGAACATTTGGACATCTGAGAAGTGCAGTCATTGTGTAACTTGTGAACAGAGCTAACTAACACTTGACTTCTGTTTCTCCCTTATGTCCACAGACACCATGCCCTGACAACAAGGATTTCGCGAATCTGCGTTTTCACGCTGGCCCACCTTATGAAGACATAGCTTTTAAGATAGTGAACCGTGAGTGGGAGTACTCCTACAAACGAGGGTTTCGCTGTCAGTTCCATAATAACATCTTCCAGCTATGGTTTCACTTTAAGAGATACCGCTACCGACGGTAGTCTCTTACTGGATATATATAGCAAGGTGTAGAGCCAGTCCTTCACCTTTACATACCGTCTGCATCTTCATTGACTTTTAATATCATTCGTCAGAGAAACCATTCATATGGTATATAAATGCATATAAAAGTATGCAGTCTACACAATATTCTGTTTTTAAAAAACAAAGTAGACACTCTCGTGTCAACATTTGTTTTTATTGACACTGCACGTTTTGACCCTTATACTGGGTCATCATCTGGCATACAATGACACCAGTCTCAGTCATCGAACTGCATCTCTACTATTTGCATCTAATTCAGTAATAATCCTTAGTGTGCTCTTGTGAGTTTTAAATGCATAAATTGAATCTTTCAGTTAAAATTTAAAGTTCTTAGATAATAAAATTTAAAAATTAAAGACTGAAGATTAAAACATAAAAATTAAAATTGTACAGAAATGGAAATGAAATATTTTGTGATAAATCTGTTCAAAACTTTGTGACCGCTATGTGTTGACGTGATTTTCTGGTGGTAGAAGCGAGTATAGTGTGGGGCACCTATGTATGGGGATCTCACATGAGTTAGGTCGTGTGGTCTTGACCTTACTATCCTCTTGTGGAGCTTATGCTCGTTAATCTGTATGTCACCCAACATGTTGTTTATTTGGAGTAATCTGGAACAGTTTTTTAATTATTATAAGACAAAGCTTGTGAGTTTATTGTTATTGAACTTGCTATTGTTAGGTTATTTAGTATATGTGCTTATGTATATTAGATTTTCTTACAATGATCTGTGTACGGGCTTCTCACCCTCTTGTTCATATAAGTATAAGAATGTACATTGGTTCTCTGTGAAGTACAAAAGTTATGTAAATCAAAATAGCTCTATATGTAATGAAATCCAGTATCGCTACCTTCTCATCGTTGTCTTGTAAAGACTGAATTCTTCTATGCATTGCAGCTCCAAAACCAATAAAAATAAAGTTGTCCATGTGTTTATATAACCCTTCACTGCGTAGCTTTGCATATCTGCAAAGCAGAGTTTGAACTGAATTTCCCGCATTTTCCTTGAGAATTTTAACATTGCAGACTGCTTTGCACATTAGCAAAGCCGCTCGTTTAAAAGTGGTAAGAAGAAATTTCCTATCAGTCGGCGTTACTATCGACAACAGCTGGTTTGTGTGTTGCTGTGAGGATTCTCAGATTGGCGCGTAGTGCCGTCTTGTGAACGTTATTTGTTGTGTTTGAAATCAGCATTTTGTAATATAAAAAATTATATTCGTTATCTAGAATCTTTAGTGAGTGGAGCATTGTATAACATATAATTCTGCAGAGTAAAACGTAAGTAATACACATTTTCTTTTGTTGTGCACATGTGCAGTAGTGCGCAGCATTGCTGCTTGAACATTCGCATTGTATAGTAATACTGAGTATGTGTTTCTCCATTCTTTCAGTTTCTTGTGCTGGTAATGATAACAATTTCCCGTGATGGATTCATTTGAATACTGGGACAAAGGACAACGTAAAGTAATGACATCTAATGAATTAATGGCGCTGGAATGTCCATCTGATAGTGAAGATGTGTTGGACTTTGACGATTGAGATGCAGACCCTCCAGTAAATTGCAAGGGCCTGGAATCGTCAGATAGTGAAAGTGAGCCTGAAACTGCTGCATAAACAGTAAATTCAAATACAAAAGACTCATCTGTGGCTGCAGTTCCCACTTCGGACAAAAGACGAATTGGTTCACAAAAAAATATTTTGTGGAAAAAAACTAGTGCTCCTTTTTCTGGTGACCTATTTCCATTTGAAAGAAATACAAAGTTGCCCCAATCAATTTTAGAGCTGTCAACACCATATAAATTTTTCAGATATTTTTTTACTGATGAAATAATAAGCAAAATTGTAGATGAAACTAATTTATACAGCATCCAACAAAACCCAAATAAGCCAATTGACTGCACCAGCTATGACATTTATAAATTTATTGGCATATGTATTGTAAGCTGCTTGTGTCTGTGACCTTTGGAATGACATTACTGGAATTGAATTAGTAAAACAGACTATGTCTCAGAGGAACTTTGAGAAATTGCACAGAAGCGTGTGTTTCAATGATAATTCCAAGCCACCAGGCGCTCAAAAGCCTGATCATGATAAACTGCATAAAATTAGACCTATACTGGACTATATGAACGTGAAATGTTTGTCAGTGCCTACGACTGAACGCCTGTCCATTGATGAGCAGATGTGTGCCACTAAGGCAAGGCACCATATGAAAATGTACATGAAGGATAGGCCCCATAAATGGGGGTATAAACTTTTGTGTTATGTGGGGAAATGGGATTTGCTCATAAAATCGAGATTTACAGTGGGCAAGAAAATGACCCGAAATTTTGACTTGTTGGTGAACCTGATATTGGGGCCAGTGGGAACGTTGTGATTCGTCTGTCAAGAGATACCAAGAGACCAAAATTACAAGATCTATTTTGACAGATTTTATACATCTGCAGCTTTAGCTGTGTATCTATTCAAGCAAGGTATTCAGTGTGTGGGCACAATTCAGCAAAACAGAATGCCAGCTTGCAAATTTCAAGATTAAAAAGAACTGAAGAAGATACCACATGGTTATTCGGAAGAATATATCACAAACGTTGAGTCAGTGGACATTTGTTTTGTATAAGGACAACAGCCATGTGTGTTTTCTTTAGACTTTTGTTGGAGAAATGCCTAAAACATGAGTCAGGAGGTTTGACAGAAAGAAGAAGGAGCACATATTAGTGCCATGTTCAGCAGTTGTTACAGTTTATAATTCCCATAAGGTNATCACTGGCCTCTATGGAATGAGAAGAGAACAACATGCAAACATCCTAACTGCAAAGGATATACATTTGTAATGTGCGAGAAATGCCGAGTGAACTTGTGTCTGAATAAAGACAAAAACTGTTTCCATCTGTTTCATAATGCATAAACTCACTAGTATTCATTCAAACAGCACTTCAGTAAATATTTCATTATTTTTAAACGATTTTTGTTAATTTTACTTCATAAAATATAAAGTTCCATTTCTTTCAATTTATGTTGTTGTATTAATGAATGTAACTTGTACGTGCAGTTTTGCATACATGCCAAGTGACCAAAAACACCTTTTTTTAAAAAACTATGGGTGATATATTTTTTCATTATTTTTCCTATATTCCTTCATTAATCCTGCATGTATAAACAATTTTTAGACTTCAGTAAAAAGAAATAGTGTAGTGAAGGGATAATTACGGAGGAGTGGAGGTATAACTTCAGCAATAGACAGAGGTGAGTGGTCAGCTTCATGCCTTGTTAGCTTTACCCCCTGGATAGCAGGTGGGTGGACCCCAGAGCCAGTCTCTGTGCTATGGAGTAGAGAAGATATGCCTCTCCTGGGAATCGATTCTGGGCAATCAAGTCCACTGGTATACTGACCACTAAAACGGAGCTAACATAATTCCATTCCAGGGATAGATAGAGTGGATTATATATTGCAATCTAGTGAGTGAGGAAAACTCTGTCCACAACGAGCATTCTGAAAGAAAAAGTATTTTTGCATGTTGCTACCGGTCTGGGGTTGAATAACGTAATCCAGCCAGGACAAAGCGCCAGTAAACAACTAAATCTGGATACAGGAGTGAATGTGTTAAAGATGTATTTTCCCTGTGGTCACATTGTATATTTCTGAAGTGTGGGAGTCGCAGGATGAATTCTGTTACACCCAGTGCTGGGGTGATCATGAGGAAGATGGTTGGCAGAGGGGACAGTGTTTGACATGATTGCTAAGGCATTCTGGGGGGAGGAGTCAGAATTCGCAATATCATTGAAGTTTTATCTTCTGTAGAGTTGAACAATCTGTGAACAGAAAAATCCTTATTGGAGAGCGAACTCCGAAAAAAGAAAACAGTGTTCGAAAGTGCTGTGCGTCGTGAATTCCTCGACCTTATAAGACCTGAATATGTGTGTGCCATTTCTCACATTACCTATGGGTCCTAACTTCCCCGACAAGCGGCGGTCGCTCGGTCGGTATAGTTCGCTTGCGGACTGAAACCACGGAGTTGGGTAAACATTGTGAAGCAGTTGTATTGACGGAACCGCCCGTGCGGTAGATAGACCCTTGAGCTGTCGCAATATATGGTTTGCCTACTCAATAAGCGTTCTTCGTCTGTTAATTTCATACAATAAACAAATAACTTTGCAGTTCTTGAACAGTTTCTGTGCTGATGTAACATCAGTTCTAGTACCTGCGTAATTTGAGGCATCGAACAAAGGGACGGCGAGTTATCTTAGTCTGTAATGTATTTAGCGAAGATGACCGCTTCAAATGGTAGGATGTTTCGTGAATAATGAATTGTGAGTGTGAAAATGAGAGTGGATAGAACTGGCTCAGGGTAGTGTCCAATGGCGGACCTTGGTATTAGCAGTGTTGAACCTTCGGGTTCTGCTACCAGAGAGTTAGTTAGTAAGCTGGATCTTAGGAAAATGGGCTGTGAAAATGGGAATGGATGGAACTGGCTCAGAATAGTGTCCAATGGCGGACCTTGGTATTAACGGTGTTGGACCTTCGGGTTAACCGTTAACCAGAGAGTTAGTTAATTAGTTAGATGGATCTTAGGGAAATGGGCTGTGAGGATGGGAGGTGGATGGAACTGGCTCAGGATCGTGACCAGTGTTGGGATTTCGTATTATCGGTGTTGAACCTTCGGGTTCTACTACGAGAGAGTTAGTTAATTAGTAAGATGGATCTTAGGGAAGTGGGCTGTGAGGATGGGAGGTGGATGGAACTGGCTCAGGATCGTGTCCAATGGCGGGCTTTGGCATTAGCGGTGTTGAACCTTCGGGTTCTACTACGAGGGAGTTAGTTAATTAGTAAGATGGATCTTAGGGAAGTGGGCTGTAAGGATGGGAGGTGGATGGAACTGGCTCGTGTCCAGTGGCGGGCTTTGGTATTAGCGGTGTTGAATCTTCGGGTTCTGCTACCGGAGTCAGTTAATTAATCTGCAGGCTTTTATGTAAAATGCGAGGTCACGAAGCGTGAATATGGACTGATCCTAGTTCTGGGGACTGCGTAAGCGGGTTGACACGTGCGTGCCGAGCGCGGTACCAGATATAGTTGTCCGCACCAAAGGCTGCGGTGTGCTGGCTCTTCCTACACGCGGCCAGCCCTTACGTACATAAGACGCCCGCGAAGTGGCGCGTGGCTCAAAGCCTGGCGGGCAGTGTTCGTGGCAGCATGAGGCCCCAACTCGCCGTGCTCCCCTTCCTGGCGCTGAGCGTCGCGGCCGTCTCCATGGACCAAGGTAACAGACCGGGGTTTGAACTGGACGCCATTAACTGCAAGTATTTATAAACAAAATACTCAGCGAAATTTTTCGAATTGTAGGATGTTATATACAGAGTACATTTTGATTTATATAGGTCAGTTTGTTTTCTCGGTGTTGTGAAATCCAGAAGACTAAGATGAGTTGTGTATGTAGCTAGAGTGGTGGATATACGGAATGCATACAAAACTTCTGTACAGAAACCACTTCGAAAACGTCCACCACTTAAAGATGGAGAAGCAACTTGACATGAAGATTGATCTGAAGGAAATGGAATGGAGATTGGTATAAATTAATTCGGGGTTGGTTTTTCGACGCAATATGATTTATGCAGTTGATGCAGCGTCGTTAATTAAACCAGCAAGTTGGGAAATTACAGGTAATATAAAAACTGTTGTGCCAGAAAACCGAGATTAACGGCCGTGGGGATTCGTTGCGCTGACCACGCGACACCCTCTATCCGCTAAAGTTGCCATTAACTTCTCCGACAAGCGCGGTCGCTCAGTCGGCATAGTTCACTTGTGGACTATAGGCCACGGAGTTTGTTTTGTTTGTGCCTTGGGCTCCTTTCAGTTTATTATCTTGATGTATGGAACAAGTGCCCTAGACTAAGATACATGTTTTAGTTTACTCTACAGGTTTTGTCCGAGATATATTTTTCCTACGACAAACACTCAACGAAAGACACTTATAAACACTCGTGGGTTTTCAAGTAAAGTGTCCGTTATTATTGTCCAATTTAACAAAATCGTGGAGTCTGACGACGAGGTTTAGCGGAACTCCCTGAATTTCATGAAGTGTCTTCAGCGTTTTTCTAGAGGCAGATTGATATGCGTGCAAAGTTGTTTGGCCTGCTGTTGCATTGCCAAATTAAATAGGATCCAGCGGCGGCGACCAGTGTCCGTGTTGTAGCAATAGCTATATCGGTTAGCTTATAGCAAGTGCAACCGTGGATATGAGAGGTACAAAGGTTAGGAAGTCGGCTTTGTTCGGTTTGGGGTCCTTACGGTAATAAGTATGAATATTTATTGCTTGGCTTTCTATTCTACCCTGAAGATGTAGGCTGTATTTTCCACTGAAGCCTTCTCGGTAAACTTCTATCGGACTACATGGTATCACATCCTAGGATATAGTGTTCTCTGCGCGCAGCCGTATGTCGCGTGTTAGCAATGCTGACATTGGTTCTGTTTAAAGAAAAGACACGAAAGAAAGCGTTTGCAGCAATCTGTTATGGGATTACCTGACGTGGCCTTGATTTCGAGATATTTCGATTAAAAATAATATTCGTGAGATCACTTTAGGTCACATGAAACAGGACATTTCCATATGGGCACCTCGTCCTCGTAAAGGAAGCGTCTCATATTTGTTTTGGAAACGCGAGTCGACCTTAACAGCAGCTCGACAGACTGCAAAGTCTTCCTGCAACACGTACGAAGTAAAACTTCTGGCTAAATCGGTAACGGTGCCCAAATAAACGGCACTCAAACGTTGTAACGCGGATAGTTTTCGTTTGTAGGATTTGAGGTTCTCACAGGGGTGTTTTATCTTCTGGGATATAACGCCGTGTAGTTCATTGAAAGTCAACTGACGTTTCGGATTAACATATCACTTCTATCTTCAGGGACGAATAAGTCGAGAAATATACGAACGTGAAAGCAGGTGACAATCTTTCACTCTGTTACCTTCTTCGGTTTATCTACGATGGATGGCGGGACTACTTACAGGACACTGTCAGCTTAATGGACACCTCTTCAAACTGGGACTAAGTCATAACCCCACTTGTGAGAGGTGTCAGATAGAAAATGAAACAGCCACGCACGTCCTGAGTGAATGTGAGGCTTTAGCTTATTTAAGACTACGTCACTTGGGTCAATACTTTATGGAACCAAGTGACTATTTTGACGCCCCCACGTACAAAATCCTGCTCTTCATCCGCAGCGTGGGGTTGCTGAGGGGATAGTCAGAAGGGGAGGCACAATAGACGACTATAGGTCGCGGTGCAAGGGCCAAGAAGGCCCACCCCTTATACATACATACATTAATTAATTCCTTGGTTTATTCGTCCATGAAGATTATGGCGATATGTTCCACCGAAACGTTGTTATATCCCAGAAGATAAGAATCTTCAGTTTTTATGTGTTTATGTGTGTTTTTGTGCAAGAATGACGACCACCTGCTTATCAACATGGCGCCGTTTACAATGATGACGTTGTTTAAGCGAGAATCAATTTTCTTTCACTGACAGAACAATATTTTCTCGCATTATGTTGACAACAATTATAAGCACCATAAAAAAACGAGTAAATAAAAAGAACACGCTGTTCTGGCTTCAAATTTAGAACACAAAACTCCGGCGTTTTGCAAAATTTCCATGTCCAGATCTGAAACCAGCGCATAGATTTAGTCTCTATGTTGGCATGGCAGCAGTGTTGAGTGGTGTTACGTGCTACCCCCGTAATAAGCTGTGCAGGCCCACACGGTTCTGAGACGTCGAGGCTCCCACATTTTCTAGACAATCGCCTCACAGATGGTGGTGTAGTTGCCAGCCTTACGCGCCGGCCGCCCTTTACCTTCAGGAATATTCCTACTTATTTCTGTTAGAGGCTGAGTCGACCACAGGACCATAGTGCGACTGGAAGCATTAGGTCAATTGAAAATTCCAATGGCCTCATCGGGAATTGAACCAGCGATCTTCTGGCTTGTAGCATAGTGCCTCAACCAAGTACGCTACCGCGTACCCCGTAATTACACGCAGTGAAGCTTTACTTGGTCATTAGAAGACTGAAAGGAGGTTTGTTTCTGATTACTTCTTCAGAGTGGAATTTATTTCGTTTTATGTTCGCGGAATCCGAGAAGAGGGGGCAGACGTGAGAGATTACGCATGAATAACAGTGGGCCTCCGCCCCGCAACTACAGTCTTGTCTCCATCTAGAACAGATCCCGCGACTCCGACTGGAGCCGGCTTTTCAGGCTGACCTTGAGACAGCGACGGAGGGACTGTGTTCGTGACAGGGTTCCAGAGGCTCCAACATGGCGGAGGAGCCGGCCCCGTCCGAGACATATGCTGACAGTCTCTTACCCGGTGGGAAATAGAAAATAAAAGTAAAATTTTACTTGAGAAATTTCGTAGTAAGAGACCATTTGAAGAACAATCGTAGCTTGGGGTATGATATTAAAATGGATCGTCGAGAAGTAGATTTTGGTGCAGGAGAGAAGGCGATTCTGGATATTGTGAGCACATCAATCCCCGAAGTAAGTAACCTGAATGTATGGCAGATATCAAATATATAGCAAAATTGCGTTCATGAGGAAATTAAGAGCAGACTTAAATTCGGGGCGTGCTTGCTACCATTCAGCTGAAAATCTTCTGTCTTCCCCTCTGCTATGTGAAAACATAAAGATTAAGACATTCAGAAACATATTTATACATGTACTTTTCTATGAGTGCGGAACTTACATTAAGGGTGTTTGAGAACAGGGTGCTGAGGAGAATATTTGCACATAGGAGGGGTGAAGTAACACGCAGCTGGAGAAAATCTCATTATAAGGAGCGACATAATTTGTATTTATCCTCAGATGGCTGATGTGGTGAGCAGAACATGTAGCATGCATGCAGATTAACTTCATACAAAGATTTGGTGTGAAAATTTGAAAGAAAGAGACCACTATGAAGACAGCATAATGATATTAAAATGGATCTTTACTATAAAGTGTTGGAGGTTGTGGACTTGACTCATCTGACTCAGGATAACGACCAGTGGAAGGCTTTTGTGAACGCGGAAATGAACTTTCAGGTTCCACAAAATGTTGTGAAATTCTTGAGCATCTGAGCTAGTGGCGGCTTCTCAATTATGGTTCAGCTCCATGGAGTGGCATACAGTCAAGTTATTTGAAACTTTTCACGGTGTGTGGTTACCTGGTCGAGCCCGAACCACAATACATGCGTACGCATCTAACTAACAAACTAACTGCTTGGAGTGGACTCCTCGTTGGAAGGCCAGCGTCCCGCCGCCTGACCCGCCTGACCCACAGCAAGGTCCCTTCCTAACACTTTGTTTCTTATAGACTGATTTCAATATGTTCATCCCACTTTGACCAGATGGCATACAGAAATGAACCAAATGTTTCGAAACTGTAAGTACAGATCTGGCAAAAATGTGGAACGAACCAGCTAACTGCACAGAGCTGAGCCCTTCTTGAGAAGCCGCCAGTCGCTCAGCTACTCAAGTATTGCACAACATTTTGTGGAACGCGAAGGTTCATTACCGTGGTCACAAGAGCCCTCCACTGGTCCCTATCCTAAACCAAATCATTCCAGTCCATACCACCCCATCCTATATCTCTCAGACCCATTTTAATATTATCCTCCCACCTACGTCTTGGTCCTCCTAGTGGTCTCTTTCCTTCTGGCTTTGCCACCGAATTTGACCACAGGCCTCCATTTTGTTGGTCGCCTTGCTAGTTCTGGGCGTAAAGGGCTTATGAACTGGACGCTGGACTGATATCGGCAGTTGTTAGCATGGCCACCTCGGCCACATGTCGGGAGAAACAACATCGGGCCGTGGCATGCTTGCAACAATCCGGCTGTTGGGTTTGGTGCGCAACCCAAGCTGTGTGGGCCGAATTATGTGTGGGAAGGTCGCACCTGACCTCATTCTGAGGTCATTGGTACACCTACAGCTTTATTTTCCTTCGATTTACATTCCTTGTCACTAATATTTACCGAGAAAACCAGAAAGCATATGTAGGTCTCTTAAGAAGAGGCAGTACGTAGCCATGCGTGCACGCAGTTGCAAATAGCGGATCCCAGTGGCATGAAAAGCATTTCACGTATTCGTATTTCTAAATGTGAAATGAAAGAATTCCCAAAATTATTGGGCTATGCACCTTAAACGTACTTGGTAACAGGAATTTCGGTAACACCCAACGTGGGGTATACACAACTCGATCACCAATGTCACGAGCATAACATACACAGA